TGGAGATGCCAATTCGCATGATCACGCGCCCGATCCAGAAGAAGTAGAAGCTCTCAGACAGAGAGCAAATTTAAAAAGGGCTGCCGTTGAACATCCTGAATGTCCCCCTGCGAGAATCTTAAGAGTATTCCAAGATTTACCACCTTCTGTCTTAGCGAAACTTCCCGATCGAATGAATGCAGCAAAGCAAATTCAGCGGGAGCGATTGAAAGAAATGCCGTCTAACCCTCAAAGTGCACAAGAGCTGAAAGAGTTACCCGATAAGTATAAAATAACTAAGTTAGGCGAGAATTTTTTGTTATATGATTCGTATGAAGACGAACAATATAATTTAACTTGTGGGAGAATTATTGTATTTGCGACTCGAAAAAATTTAAGAAACCTTTTCAAAAGTGCAATATAGTTTGTAGATGGAACTTTCAAGGTCGTTCCATCTATATTTTTTCAACTGTTTGCAATCATGGGTACAGTAGAACAAATTTCTCGAGGTGTTGAACGTGATATAGCCCTTCCTTTTGTATACGCTCTGCTGGAAAGCAAACAAGAAGATGCATACTCGAAAGTGTTCCAAATCATAAAGTCTAAAGCACAAGATTTCGGACTTCAAATTCGGCAGCCGCAAACAATAATGTCCGACTTTGAACTCGGGATCATAAATACAGCACAAACTAATATTGGCAATGTTGTCCATTTATGCTTATTTCACCTGTGCCAAAGTGTTTATCGTAGAATTCAATCTGAGGGGTTACAGGAAATGTACAATAATAAAAATGATCCAAGTATTCGAGAAGCAACACGAAGCATGTGCGCTCTAGCATTCGTACCACCGGAAGATGTGCCTGCTGTTTTTGATTTGTTTTTGGATGATGTGCCAGAGGAGTTTGTACCAGTAGCAGAATACTTCGAGGTTAAAAATTAAATCTGAAATTAATAAAATATTTAAATTTAATATACTATTAAAATATACTATTCCACACATGATTTTCCTTAGGTTACGTATATTCGTGGAAAAACTGCGAGAGGAAGAAGAAAAGCAGTGTCAGTTCGATATGCCCCTATTCTGTGGAATCAGCATCAAGCTGTCATTCAAAGAATTGCCAGAACTAATAATGCTTCAGAGGGCTGGCATAATCGGTTTCAAGTTGTTGTTGGTCGATATTATCCCAGCCTCTTTGCTTTTTTAAATGAATTGCAGCAAGAAGAAGGCGATACAGAATGCATGATTAACCAGCTAAATCTGGGACAAAAAATACGAACACTACCTACATCTAATTTTCAAAGTATTGAGGAAAGAGTTTTTAGCATTGTGGCACAATATCAAAAATATTTCGACGACAATCGAGAACTAGAATATATAAAAGCACTTGGCCATCATTTACATTTATATTTACACAATTTACACCTTTATCAAACATGTATTTCAATAAAATTATATATTTTGGGTAATTTGTACTTTTGGACTTTTTGTACTATTGGGCTTTTGGTCTTTTGGATCTTTAAAGTTTTGGACCTTTTGGATTAGACCTTCCGTCTTGGACCTTTTGGTTTGGATCTTTTGTACCCCAATCTTATTTATCACCTTAATATCTTAAAATGGACTCAAATACACAAATAAATACAAATAAATAAATACAATAATAAATACAATACAATAAATACAATAAATACAATCAAATACACACAAATACATAAAAAAAAGTTGTCTGTTTCTTGAACTAGTCATATCTTTCCTATAGTTTTGGCCCTCTGAAAACGAATATTAAGTCACCCTCTAATTTTTTTAAACCGAAAAAACCACCCTTAATAAGACAAATTTAAACGTAGGAGATAATAAAATTAAATAACAATTTTTTTTAACCCTTTGCCTGTCGCTGACGCATATATGAGAGATTCTTTTTCAATCGCCCCAGCCCAAAAAGTCAATGTTCTGGGATTGGCTTCATACTATGGTAAATTGTTGTCCTATATGATAGTAATAAATCCCTAAAATATAAACTCATTAAAAAATATTTGTAGAAAGTAGAGGGGGTTGAAGTTTTGACGATAAGGGTAACATTGTCATTTTCAAATCCGTATAACTATGACAAAAGTTAATGGATTTTAATTTATCTATAATGAATTTTAATGCATTTTTCACGTACTTTTCAAAAATGTATACGAAATTTAAAAAAAAAATTTTACCCCCTTTTTTTTCAAAATCAACCCTTATTTTTCGATTTTCACCCCTTCGGGAATTTTTTTTTGTTTTTTTTTTATTTTCATTGGAAAGCTGCGGTTTTTTCCCATGAGCTATGTAAATATGAAAATGGGACAACAATAATTTTGTGAGAAACATAATATTAAATTAGGCGGTGCCTACCTAAATCCTCAAAGATGATCTCCAGGTATACCCCTTATCGGCACCGCCTACTTTAATATTCTGTTTCTCACAAAATTATTGTTGTCCCATTTTTATATTTACATAGCTCATGAGAAAAAACCTCAGCTTTCCAATGAAAATAAAAAAAAAATACCCGAAGGTGTGAAAATCGAAAAATAAGGGTTGATTTTGAATAAAAAGGGGTTAAAATTTTTTTTTTTAAATTTCGTATACATTTTTGAAAAGTACGTGAAAAATGCATTAAAATTCATTATAGATAAATTAAAATCCATTAACTTTTGTCATAGTTATACGGATTTGAAAATGACAATGTTACCCTTAACGTCAAAACATCAACCCCCTCTACTTTCTACAAATATTTTTTTAATGAGTTTATATTTTAGGGATTTATTACTATCATATAGAACAACAATTTACCAAAGTATGAACGTCTCTGAAGCTAGAACCGCCATTTTCAAAATATTGATTGAGACCTTCATCATTAATTAAGGCTCATTTAGGGCTTTTAAGGGCCACAAGGCCGAAATTTCGGGCTGTTAAACTTTTCTTTTAAATAACTTGCACCTCAGCATCATAAATTGCTAGCACCGCCACATCAGAACTTTGCGAAAATACAACCTAATACATTCTGAAGCCCATCAGAATTAAGGGCTAATTAAGGGCTTTTAGTTTCACTAGGTCAAAAATTAAAAAATGCTTTTTTCTTTAAATAACGGCCATCTCCATAAGTGAAGAAGATTCCCGACACCAAAATTAATTATCTTCATTCAATTCTTGACTATGGAATCTCAGCCCGAACTATAAAATAAGGGCCAATTAAGGGCTCAAATTTTGTCTAGGTAAAACACCTGATTAAATCAATTTTTTTAAATAACGGTCAGCACCCTGAGTGGAAAATGTTTTCAACCCTGACATGCATTTTGTTCATTTAATTTTTAACAATGCTACTTCGTCCCTAACTCAAAAATTAAGGGCCAATGAAGGGCTCAAATTTTAACTACGTAAAACACCTAAATAAATATTTTTTTGTTTAATAAACGGTTAGTACCCTGAGTGGAGAACGATTTTAACTCCGCCATTCATTTTAATTATTCTTTTTTTAACTATGCTACCTTGGCCGTAACTAAAAATTAAGGACCAATCGATGGCTCAAATTTTATCTATCTAAAACACCTAAATAAAAATTTGTTTGTTTAATAAACGGTTAGTACCCTGAGTGGAAAATATTTTTAACACCGCCATGCATTTTGTTCATTCAATTTTTAACTATGCTACCTCGGCCCTAACTCAAAAATTAAGGGCTTATGAAGGGCTCAAATTTTAACTACCTTCAAAATAAATTCGGGCTCATTTAGGGCTTTTAAGGGCCACAGGCCCGAAATTTCGGCTATTAAACTTTTTTTTTTAAATAACATGCACCTCAGCTTCATACATTGCTAGCACCGCCACATCAGAACTTTGCGAGAATAAAGCCTAATACATTCTGAGGCCCATCAGAATTAAGGGCTAATTAAAAGCTTTTAGTTTCACAAGGTCAAAAATGTAAAAATGCTTTTTTCTTTAAATAACGGCCATCTCCATAAGTGAAGAAGATTCCCAACACCAAAATGAATTATCTTCATTCAATTCTTGACTATAGAATCTCAGCCCGGACTATAAATTAAGGGCCAATTAAGGGCTCAAATTTTATCTAGGTAAAACACCTGATTAAATCAATTTTTTTAAATAACGGTCAGCACCCTGAGTGGAAAATGTTTTCAACCCTGACATGCATTTTGTTAATTTAATTTTTAACAATGCTACTTCGTCCCTAACTCAAAAATTAAGGGCCAATGAAGGGCTCAAATTTTAACTACGTAAAACACCTAAATAAATATTTTTTTGTTTACTAAACGGTTAGTACCCTGAGTGGAGAATGATTTTAACTCCGCCATTCATTTTAATTATTCTTTTTTTAACTATGCTACCTTGGCCGTAACTAAAAATTAAGGACCAATCGATGGCTCAAATTTTATCTATCTAAAACACCTAAATAAAAATTTGTTTGTTTAATAAACGGTTAGTACCCTGAGTGGAAAATATTTTTAACACCGCCATGCATTTTGTTCATTCAATTTTTAACTATGCTACCTCGGCCCTAACTCAAAAATTAAGGGCTTATGAAGGGCTCAAATTTTAACTACCTTTAAAATAAATTAGGGCTCATTTAGGGCTTTTAAGGGCCACAGGGCCGAAATTTTGGGCTATTAAACTTTTTTTTTAAATAACTTGCACCTCAGCTTCATACATTGCTAGCACCGCCACATCAGAACTTTGCGAGAATAAAGCCTAATACATTCTGAGGCCCATCAGAATTAAGGGCTAATTAAGGGCTTTGAGTTATCATTTTTCTAAATAATATTTATTTAATATTAACACCTGGATTTAGATATCGTATTCCTTGAATTTATAACTAAGTCGATATGGTTGGTTTCAGCTTCGCATTTAGTGAAGGAACTTGCTATTATTTGACAATTTTAGTTGTGAATAATTCGCGGGAAAATTCAAAAATTCATATACCCAAAAAGGGAAACATCTGGACTAATGAGTCGATATAACTATGAGAAATGTGTTGGATGTGGACCTCTGTAGCTCAGTGGAAGAGCAATCAACCGGCAATTGATAGGTCCTGGGTTTCGAGCCCCAGCAGAGTTAGCATTTTTTCATAGTTATCATTTTTCTAACCTAAATAAATAATTTTTTGTTTAAATAATAGTAAGCACCCTGAGTGGAAAATATTTTTAACACCGCCATGCATTTTGTTCATTCAATTTTTAACTATGCTACCTCGGCCCTAACTAAAAAATTAAGGGCTTATGAAGGGCTCAAATTTTAACTACCTTCAAAATAAATTAGGGCTCATTTAGGGCTTTTAAGGGCCATAGTGCCGATATTTCGGGCTATTAAACTTTTTTTTTATATAACTTGCACCTCAGCTTCATACATTGCTAGCACCGCCACATCAGAACTTTGCGAGAATACATCTTAATACATTCTGAAGCCCATCAGAGTTAAGGGCTAATTAAGGGCTTTTAGTTTCACTAGGTCAAAAATGTAAAAATGCTTTTTTCTTTAAATAACGGCCATCTCCATAAGTGAAGAAGATTCCCAACACCAAAATGAATTATCTTAATCCAATTCTTGACTATGGAATCTCGGCCCTAACTGAAAATTAAGGGGCAACAAAAAGCTTAAATTTGATATATGTAAAACACCTGAATGAATCAATTTTTTTTAAATAACGGTCAGGACCCTGAGTGGATATTGTTTTTAACCCTGACATGCATTTCATTTATTCAATTTTTAACTGTGCTAACTCCGACCTAACTAAAAATTAAGGGCTATTCAAGAGCTAAAACTTTATCTACGTAAAAATCCTGAATAAATCTTTGTTTGTTTCAATAACGGTCAGCACCCTGAGTGGAGAATGTTTTTAACACCGCCATTCATTTTAATTATTATTTTTTTAAATATGCGCTCTTGGTCCTAACTAAAAATTAAGGGCCAATCGAGGGCTCAAACTTTATCTACGTAAAACACCTGAATAAATCATTTTTTGAGCTGCGTTCAGATAGCACCTCCACAAACGAATTTCGGAAAAACTACTACATGATAATATCGGGCTAATTTCATGCTAATTTTAGACGCAAGAAATAATTTTTCTGCTCCCTTATTTTTTTCAAAAAATCAAATTTTGAGTGGAGGTGCCAAATGAATATACAGTTAACACCTCCACTATAGAAAATTAAACAGCTCAAAATTTTCGATTACACCATAATTTCGGGCTATTTAAGGGCTCTTAAAATCATCTACAAAAATTTTTCAAAAAACACCCCCTTCATACAAAAACTATTCTTATATAGTAAAAATTTTCCTGACACAAAATCGGCTGCACAGTAATTTAGGGCTATTTTCGGGCTCTTAAAATCATCAAGAAATATTTTTAAAAAATTAAAAGCAACATTCCTAAACTACCCTGTTTAGTTAAAAATATATTCCTTCGCATAATTAACTGCGCTGTAATTACAGGCTATTTTCGGGCTCTTGAAATCAGCAACAAATATTTCTCAAAAATCAAAAGAAACGTCTAAAAACTACCCCGTTTAGTTAAAAATATCTTCCTTCGCAAAATTAACTGCTCTATAATTTCGGGCTATTTTCGGTCTCCTTAAATAAGCAACAAATATTTTTCAAAAACCAATCGCAACATCTAAAAACTACCCCGTTTAGTTAAAAATAGCTTCGTTCGCAAAATTGACTGCGCTATAATTTCAGGCTATTTTCGGGCTCTTAAAATCAGCAACAAATATTTCTCAAAAATCAAAAGAAACGTTCCTAAACTACCCCGTTTAGTTAAAAATATCTCCCTTCCCAAAATTGTCTGCGCTATAATTTCGGGCTATTTTCGGGCTCTTAAACTGTGCAATAAATATTTTTCTAAAATCAGTTCTGTGTAGGTGAAGCGCGTCACGTTTGTATTCCCAGCATTGACCATATTTTGCCTGAATTTGAACTAATAGGGTATCACGTTTTAATTTCTTTTCTGAAAATTATTCTTATTTAGATATAACAAAAATTATAAAAATGAAACGAAAAATAAGAAAAATAGTTAAGTATTTATTTAATTTATTATTGAAAATAAATTACATTTATTCTTTTATGACTCTTATGACGGTCACGTTTTTGGATATTTTTTTTGGCTGGATTGGTTTTTTTGGGTTTTTTATTAAAATATAACTTTTTTATTCTACACTTTTTCTTTCTAAATTGAGTATTTTTTGAGAAAAATGCGAAAAATAGAAAATATTCTTAAAACGTTATATAGAAGGGCTATAATCTATGTTGGGAATTTGTGGTTAGTTTATCGTTTTTTTTTCTTCTAATGTAGGAGGTCCTTTCTGGGTTCGATACCTTCTGGTGCCATCTAGAAAGTCAATTTGAATCTCTTTCCAAAATAAAGATATGTCATTAAACTTGCAGTTAAATAAACTGAAACATTAGAAGAAAAGAAAAAGCTTGAAAAAAGCCACAAGCAAAAACTACTATCTGCTAATTTGATATCGAATCTTTATTTTGCAAAGGGATTCAAATTGACTTTCTAGATGTCACTAGAAGGTACCGAACCCAGAAAGGACCCCCCTACAACAAAAGAAAAGAAAAAGCTTGAAAAACGAGCTACAAGAAAAAAACACTACAGAGGCGGACGAAGCCCGCCTCAGCTGATTTAGTATCAAATATTTATTTTGGAAAAGGATTCAAATTGACATTCTAGATGGCACCAGAAGGTACTGAACCTAGAAAGGACTCCCCTACAACAGAAGAAAAGAAGAAGCTTCTTGATAATTAAATTTTAAACATTTCTTACAATTTCTCTTTTTTTCATTGACGATATTTTTAGTCTTTTTTCATTGATTCTCACGAACTTACTGAGCAGTAAAATTTTCAAAGGAAGTTATCTTTAAGTAAACGGGGTATTTTTTGGACATGGCGTCTGATTTTTGAAAAATATTTATTGCTGAATTTAAGAACCCGAAATTATAACGTTGTTACTTTTGCGAATAAAACTATTTTTCATTAAAAGGGTAATTTTTAAACTTAGCACTAGACTTTTCACAAATATTTGTTGCTGATTTTAAGAGCCCGAAAAAGGACCGAAATTAAAGCGCAGTCAAATTTGCGAAGGAAGATATTTTTAAGTAAATGTGGTAGTTTTGGGACGTTGCGTTTGATTTTTGAAAAATATTTGTTGCACAGTTTAAGAGCCCGAAAATAACCCGAAATCATAGAGCAGTCAATTTTGCGAAGGAAGATATTTTTTACTAAACGGGGTAGTTTTTAGAAAATGAGAAATTCGTTGGGGGAGGATGAAAAAGTTATCCCTGGAACAGCCAGGGATGGGAAACACTATTAAAAACATAGATTTTGGCGTATTGCTCGGTTAATATGAGGAATATTAAAAAAACTTCAACAAAAAATTGTATCTCTCAATGAAATACACTTTTTATGTTTGATATTCATCCTTCCTGAATGTATTATTATGCGAAAAAAAATGCAAAAAACTAAAAATAATTTTAAAAGCATTATACCAAAGCCTCTTAAGTGGATAATTCGATATCAAATTGGCAGAGGTGAGCTTTGCAAGCCTCTGTAGTATTTTTTTTCTTGTGACTCCTTTTCAAGCTTTTTCTTTTCTTTTGTTGTAGGGGGGTCCTTTCAGGGTTGGGTACCTTTTGGTCCCAACTAGAAAGTCAATTTGAATATCTTTTCAAAATAAAAAGTCGATACCAAATTGGCTGTGGTATTTTTTTCTTGTGGCTCTTTTTAAATCTTTTTTTTTTCTTTTGTTGTAGAGGGGTCCTTTCTGGGTTCGGTACCTTCTGGTGCCATCTAGAAAGTCAATTTGAATCACTTTCCAAAATAAAGATTCGTCATTGAACTTGCACTTTAATCAACTGAAACATCAGAAGAAAAGAAAAAGCTTGGAAAAAGAGACGTAAGCAAAAACTACTATCTGCTCATTTAATATCGACTCTTTATTTAGGAAAGGATTCAAATTGACTTTATAGATGGCACTAGAAGGTACCGAATCCAGAAAGGACCCCCCTACAACGGGGTAGTTTTTAGACGTTGCGATTGATTTTTGACAAATATTTGTTGCTTATTTAAGGAGCCCGAAAATAGCCTGTTATAGAGCAGTTAATTTTGCGAAGGAAGATATTTTTAACTAAACGGGGTAGTTTAGGAACGTTTCTTTTGATTTTTGAGAAATATTTGTTGCTGATTTTAAGAGCCCGAAAATAGCCCTAAATTACTGTGCAGCCGATTTTGTGTTAGGAAAATTTTTACTATATGAGGATAGTTTATTTATCTACGTAAAACACCTTAAAAAATTTTTTTTGTTAAATTAACGTTCAGCACACTGAGTGAAGAATGATTTTAACACCGCCCTTCATTTTGTTCATTTATTTTTTAACTATGTAACCTTGGCTCTAACTTCAAAATTAAGGGCTTATCAAGGGCTCAAAATTTAACCACCGTAAACACATAAGTGGATCTTAAAAAAATAAATAACTGTCAGCACCGTGAGTGGTGAATGTTTTTAACACCGCCAGGCATTTTGTTCATTCAAATTTGAATTATGCTACCTCGACTCTAACTAAAAATTAAGGGCAATAAAGGGCACAAATTTAATCTGTGTAAAACACCTAGTAGATAAGTCATTTTTTTAAATAAGGGTCAGCACCGTGAGTAGAGAATGTTTTTAACACTGCCATGCATATTATTAATTTAACTAGCTAAAAGAAACGCGCGTAAACGCGCGAGATATCTGCAATTTTTTATGAAAAATTAAAAATTTATTTTTATTTGACGGACACTTTTTGGAATTTTGATCTCACAAAAATAATAATATTATTTTTGTAATCGTTACTGTATTACTATTTCAACATTATGGTGTTATAATAATATAATACCTATTATTGCCCAGTCAATATGACCTTTAAATTTTGTACTCAAATAAAGATTATACAATGCTACGATCGTCGAATTGTCAGCAATACATTTAAATGACCCATCTCAGGATCCATGCAGGGTGAATTCCTATTTTGTTTACCACAAGGCCCATGAACTTAAAATCGCTTTACAATGTTAAAAAG